TTCATACCAGAATCATAAACAACAAAAGAAATCCACATGCCAACAACAAAAATAGGGATAATAATGTGGAAAACCAAAACAGTACATTCCCTCCGCACTCCAGTCTTGTAGAAGAATTCTACAAGCAGAATCCCCTAGAGATAACGCAGGACACAGAATTTAAAAGAACAGTCATAAACATGATCAAGGAATTCAGTGAATTTAAAGAACACACAAAGACCTAAAAGAAGGTAAGGATAAACTTCTGACTGAATTCACAAAAGAGATAGAAACATTGAAGAAAACATAGGCCGAAACGAAGAAGAAAGTGAAAAACTCAATAAGCCAACTTGAAACAGTAGGGGAAAGCCTCACCACTAGAGTGAATGAAAGAGGAAACAGAATACCAACACTGGAGGATAAAGTTGAAGAATTGGACGGCTCAAGCAAAGATTATGAAAAATCTTTAAAAACACAGGAATGGAATATGCAGGAGATGTGGGACACCATGAAAAGACCAAATCTACATATCAGAGGCATAGAGGAAGGAAAAGAATCTCAGGTTAATGGTATTGATCAGATCTTAAACAGGATTGTAGAAGAGAACTTCCCCAAATTAAGGAAAGACATCCCCATAAAATACAAGAAGCACATAGAACACCAAATAGACAGGATCAGAAAAGAAACTCCCTATGGCGTATCATCATAAAAACACTAAATATACAGAACAAAGAGAGAACACTGAAAGTTGCAAAAGAAAAACAAGGCACATACAAAGGAAAGCCCATCAGAATCACAGCTGACTTATCAATGCAAACTATGAAAGCCAGAAGAGCCTGGACCAAGGTATTTCCAGTTCTAAATGACCATAAATGCCAACCCAGAATACTTTACCCAGAAAAAATGTCTATTATAGTTGAAGGGGAAAGAAAAATCTCCCACTACACGAATAGGCTGGAAGAATACATGTCCACAAAACCAGCCCTTCAAAGAATACTTGAAGCAATACAAAGAACAGAGAAAGGAACGACTATACCCCAAGGGTAACAGAAAGAAACTAAATGAATGTATAATTGTAAAATCACCATTACTCTTTTTAAGTATCTATTTCAGCTTTTTATGTTTTTAATTTTTGGCATCCCTTAATTTGTATGATAGACAATACAAAATTTGACATCAAATGAATGTAGAAATGATTCTGAAAAAGCTTGAAAAACTGAAGTTTTTAAAATTAAATTTGTTTTTTGACAATGTCATACTTAAATAAAATGCGTTCCAATTTCTCTCACCCTTGCCCTCTATTAACTCCTTCCCACCCATCAGCGCCGACCCCCCCCCATGTTCTTATCCCTTTGTTTTGTTTTGTTTTGTTTTGTTATCCACTGAATTTAACCAGGGCTATCTGAGTGACCATGAGTTTAGAACTCTCCAGTAGAACCTGATGGGCTCACCAGTAAGGGTACATATCTAAATATAATGACCCCCCTCCTCCCCCAGATTCCATCAGGAGCCCCTCTCCTATCCATGACTAGCTGTTGACAGCTCCAGTGTTGTGCAGGTCCAGTACAGGCAACCAGAGCTGCTGTGGGTTCGTGATTGCAATGGCTGTGTCATATCCAGAAAACAGCACTTTGTAGAACTTACCCATCTTCTGGCTCTTACATTCTTTATGCTCTTCTATGATGGTTCCTAAACCTTAGAGAGGATGGTATGAAGGGCCTGTTTAAGGCTCAGCATTCCACCCCACCTTGTTCTCAGCACCTTGAACAGCCATGACTCTGCATTCACTACCATTCATTATAAAGAGAAGCTTCTTTGACCAAAGAAGCATTTGTCTATGGATATAAATACAGATTTTTATAAAGCAGTTTGATGCTGTGTCAGTTTAGCTAAACAACAGTAGGAGGTTCCTGTCTAGGGTCTTTGACCTTCCCAGCCATGGGTATTTTAATGAATGTACAATACCAGACATGAACTCTTTTGTGGAGAACTGCCTGTTGCCCCCACAGTAATTGTGCCACATTGCAGCAGTGAGCACACCTTACCGTACCTGATAAATTGTTGCTATAGTTTGAGGGTTCACAATTGGATAAGACCATTGATGCTTACCCCCTTCTCCCAGGCAGCCTGCATAGCACGTTTTGGTATTAAGAAGCTAGCCAGCAGAAAGGAAGCTTCCGGCACAGCTCTGGCTTTATTTTTTGTACTGTGTACCAAGGTGTGTGGTATCCTTAGCAACAAAGTCTTACCATCTAATTCTGATGGGTAATCAAGAGACATGACAAAAGCCTATATTATTTGGGGGACCTCTGGGGCCTCCTCTACCAACCATTCATAAGGTGGTATTTTATACCTGGTAACGGGATTTTTTTGTTGTTTAATAACTCATGACTTCTAGGAGCAGTATTCAAGTTTTATCAGTGGAGAGATTGCTTAAAGGAATTACTAAACAATTTCATGGGATAAATTCAAATTAAAACAGTTATATATGTTACTGCCACCCAGCCACAGATTGAATAGGCTTTCTCAAAAATATAGAGTCTAGAATTATTCCAGATTTCAGCTGTTTTGGATTTAGGAATGTTTGCATAGATTTTAATATTTTAAGGTTTTGAATTTGGGGGCACTTCTGATTTGAATTAATGGATTGTAGATGCTAAACCTGTACAAAAAAATCAGGAGAATCATCTTGCCATGGACTTTTGTTTTCTTAGATGTAAATTGGGAAAGACACTTGATCTACCTATCTTACAATGTTTGGGGGCATAGCATGAGACCTTCGAAAAATGTGCAATGCATGTAGAAGATACTGTTAATATGTTGTCAGAGAGGGGTATAAGTGAACATGCACTATTTCCAAAAGATTCTATTATTAAAATGTTTGATAAACATGCTTGTTAGCTGAGCTGGGGCTCTGGTGACTGTCAAATTTATGGTGTCTAGATTTTCTTCCTAGCTTCAGATGGCAGGAGCCCAGTACAAGATAGACAGTCATCCACTGCACAGGGCAGTCAGATAGCAGGCCTACAGAAGATGCAGGTCTAGATGATGAACATCTGATATATCAGGAATGAGCTTGGGTTTAGAATAACATTGGTGAGCCAAGAAGCTCACATAGGAAGAGTTCTGGGTGGTACATTTTTCTGTATGCCTGTATTCTGCCTGTGACAGCAAAGGGTGGCCACAGTGGGAGAGCTATATCTTCAGAGGCAGGCATACCTGCACCCTGAGGCTCATGATGGATTTATTCAGAGAAGCACTAATAGGCTTCTTATAGACCTCATATTTAATTCCTTTTCATTTACATTCAGGACATGCTGACCTGTCAACCTGAGCACTGATGCTGGGGGTGAGGTAAACATGTGCATATGACATAATTTTCCCCCAGATTTTCAGTTAATTGTGAGATAACTTTAGCAGAGCAAAAAGTAGTAACATTTGTAATGTATTTTAAAATAGATTTTATGCTGTGCCCACACTTTAAAAACATGCATATGTATGTATATTTAAAAATAAATCTGTATTTATACCTCTATTACATAGGGAAAAAGAGCAAAAATATGCAATATTTAAAGTGTTAATGATGATGGGAATTTAAATTGCTTTTATTTTTGTTCTTTTCTGTATTTTCTAGGTCTTCAATGAACATATATTATCTGTACAATATAAAAATATAATATACTAAGCTTTTGAAGAGACCACAGTGTTTTATTATGCCTCATCTCATTTGATCCTCATTTTCACTCCTTGGGGTCAATAGTCAACATCAGTTTCACAGATAAATGGAGGAAACAGACAGACACAGCCCAGACCCTCAGGAAGTCAAGGACAACAAGATACTGATACAGACAGTACTGGACCAATAGCAAGTGGAGAACAAGGAACCGGAATCAAAAGGAACGAATAAATAGTGCTTAAGTGAAGGGGAAACATAGGGGCTTATGGTTTTTCAAGTTGGTGCATGAGATGACCTCTTCTGTCAGTCTGACTCCCTATCCTGAGGTCTGGTTTAGTTTTGTCAGACTCAGAGGCAGGATGTAGTGACTACATCTCAGTAGGGAATCAGTCTATGTTTGGTTTGCTGTTTTGGCACTATTGAATTATTTCATCTGCAAAGTTTTATCAGACTCAGAGCCTGAATTTATCTGAAGGAAAAATAAGCCAAATATTATTAGCTCTTATAAAGATTAAATGAGTTAATAAGCACTTTTAAAAGTATATCAGACAGGCTTCAACAAGCATGAAACTATCTCTATACCTGTGATACAAGAGTGATGGTGCAGGGGGATGAATCATAAGAAAGATACAAATTTTATATATATCTGTGTGTGTGTGTGTGTGTGTATGTATCAAGTCTATAGAGATGTGTACTACAGAGCTCATGGTTATCAGTGGATGATGGATGCAAAAGAATGACAAAATTCATGCAAACTTTTATAAAGTTTATTCTAATGTTACTGGATGGTTCAACTCTCTGTTAGAACCCAAGTGAATCCATCTCTTGTTAATTACAGGTTTTGGAATCTGTATATATACTGAGATTTTCTAGTTAGATATTTTTAAGTCAAATGACTGACATCAAATTAAGAATAAATTGTCATAGAAACCTAGACCACAGGTTGGGTGGTGGTGTGTGCTATAAGGGTTCGTTTGAGGTGTCCTCCTGAAGTGAGGCATGCCTGTAGGCCAATGAACCCTGGTGTCTGTCAGCACTGATTTTTCATAAGCCGAATGGATGATTTGCATCTAGTACTGAAGTCACTGCTGTTGAGGTTGGTTACATTGCAGGAATATGTCTGCGTGACTAGCAAAGTATAAAAAACTCCAGGTGAAAGAATCTCCATGCCAGAAAGGTGTGGTGTGATACCAGTTGGTTAAATATTCTATTCCTAGTTGTTTTAAATCCTTCTCTTTTCACACAGGTAAATTACTGAAATCCCAAGAGCCCATTACAAGTGTCTCTTATCCCTTTAGCAATATAAAGCATGTAAAGTCTATTTCTTTGTTAATTTTTTTTCCAGACCCCTTGGTTGTGGAATACAAGACATTGCTGGTATAACTACCCCTACCAGGTAAGGACTGACTGACTGGGGTTTACAGAGGGGATCTTCCTTATGTCAACTTCATGGTTTCAGGCAGGCTACAACAGCCACTTACTTTTGGGCTCTGCACCTGCTGGTTAATGCTGGACAAGGCTTTGTGTGTTCTGAATGAAGTTCAAAATCAAAGACGAATTGCTTTTGCAAATGGAGTCAACTTGGAAGGTCCTTTGTTGGAGAACAGGATGTAGTTTCTTCAACAGGTGGCTGATTCCTATTTCTCATAACAAAGGGAAGTCTGAAGGCCTGCTGACAGTACAAGCTTGCCTCCACAAGTGGGAATGCTCAAGTGTGGGACTGGAGCCTGCACGCTGAGTTCTGTTCACTTTGTAGCTTAGAAACAGCCTCTAAATACATAAATCAAGCACCATTTCCTTCAGCACAGAAAAAAAAATGGGCTTGTACTATTACACATGAATAAATTGTTTCTGTGACTAAAAAAGAAGAAAAAGCATCTTTAAAAGTGAGATTAAAGCACACCTCTGAAAAGGGAGTATTTTAGATCCCTATTCACTGATGTACCTTTGCATCTTTTCATGATCCTGCAACATTAGCGCATGTCCTTGTCCAAGTTATTTTCCTTGAATGTGGACTAAGAATTCCTAGCTGGGAACCTTCTAGCTTAGTCAGGATATATCATATATGGGGAGCAAATGCAACTCGGTATTATAATAAGCACCTTGGATCTTTAAAGAATGTAAATAAGCAACATGACATAGTAAGAGATAGCTGTGTTCCAGGGAGATCTGATAGAGACTGAATCAGGGGAGAACCAGTTCAGGCCCAGCTGCTGCTTTACTGTCTCTAATACATGGAATGTTGTCATTGAAAGCTTTCCTTCTATCCTCTAGTGGTATACTGAGCATCACAATCCATACAAATCTAAATGTCTATTATAAAAGGACATTAAAGGCTTCTAGAAACCTTAATTGACATGTTGGCATGGCAGCTGCTGTGTTGCCCCATGTTTAAGAGGAAAGTCCTGTAACATGAATGACATTGTGATAAATCCATGTGAAATGTCTCACGTAACCTTGTTCTTAACTGTTAGGTAATCCAAAATAGCTATCTCATTCATGACTATAGCTGAGAAACTTCTCATTTCTTAGAGGAATATATAGAACTGTGGCCCAAAATGTAGCTGTGGGCTGTTTCACAGGCAGCGCCATAGATTCATCATGAAAGTCTAAGGGCGGGGAGGGGGTTGGAACTACGATTATATTTAAAAGTAGAAAATACTGTTAGGATAGAAAGAAAGATACTATATGTGGGGATTCCGATAAGAATTGTCTTTTACTGAGAAGACATTATTTCCTAATACTGAATAATTCAGTGCACTGCTCCCAAAATTCAAGATAAATTCTGGATCTCTTGTGGGAACAGTGTTATCTTTAACAAGTGTCATATGCTAACAGAAACTTAGTGACTTTCCTTGTGTGTGGGGGCGGGGAGGAATGAGTAATTAAATAGCATGTATGCAACTAGTGTTTTATATGTAATCATGTCTATATAACTACATATAAAACAGACTACAGCTCAGATTCAGACTCAAGCCTTTACTTTGAAAGACTAAGCGTGCTCATGAAACATTTATTATGTCTTTAACATACTTATATTAGATGAGTGAATAGATTTTAGGTGAAAAGTAGTAGTATGCTTCAATTTTAAGCATACATTGCTTCTTCAGTGTGAACATACATGTTATATTTGTTACACATGTAATAATTTTCTATGTGTTTATATTTTAAAGATGAAAAAAGAGCCAAGGTTGACCTTTGTCCAGCTTGTTACAGGGATCACACACTGGGCAGGAGAAGCCTAAAGCAGTGGTCAGGGGCCTCACTAGCTGTGAGACCTGGATGTGACCTCTTAACCTGAATTAACTGACAGCAATTTCCTGTCCACTGTATAATTTAGATATAGAATGAGAGCACTAATTTCATAGGATTTTTGTGACACTCAAAGCAGTTGGCATGTGAGTGTGCTTCATTAACTGCAGAGCAATTCATGAATGTGGTTATTACTCTGTTGCTCTCCTGTGAACTCTGCGGTTTCTAGATGTGATCTAGTGTGTCCTCATAACCCCTGAGGCATTTTCACAGAGGATGATGCCAGGAGTAAAAGAATCTCATTAACACTGAAATTTGACCTTGGCTCAAAGGCTAAAATCAGGGCCCTATCTTCTTAGATTTTACTGATGAAAACATCTGCCTGAAAACCGTCCTTCTTACTAATGCCTTCCAGTCTTAAAAGGGCATTTCAGTGGAAAATATATTTTCTTCAAAGAACCACTGAGCGTTGATGCTTGTCTTAGTCACCAGGCTCCATAATGGGATTCCATAAGAAGCAATTGTGTCCCATTCATAAGAACTCCCACTCTCATGATCTGATTACTTCCCAAAAGCCCTTCTTCCAAATTCCTTCATATTGGATATTGGGCTTCAACAGATGAGTTTGGAGGAATAACAACATTCAAACTATACTAATGTCCTTTGTCATGTAAAGTTTAGAATTGCCAGTCTGATATCCTAACCTATAATGTACACTGTTGCAGAAATATGAGAGGAACAAGTCATTTTCCTTGATACCCGTGCTTAGAAAGTAGATGTCATCTTGTGATAGTCATCCATTATGCTGTGGCATCCTGTGCATAGAATTTTAGTTTCATTTACAATATACAATGTTACCTTCTGGACAGCAGTATGGACATGTTTGAATAGTTCTGGAGGGTTTTCATTCATTCCAATCAACTAAGGCATTTCATTACAGCTCATCAAAAACAGTTAAAAACAACTTTTCAGAAGTGTCATTGGAAAAACCTTAATTTTATGGATTTTTGTATAAAATAAATTTTCCTGACTTTACTGTCTTGAGCCCCTGAGGTGGTTACGTCAGACGTTCCTTCCTCCCCATTTTATAAGCAAATAACGTATTAGAAACTGCAGAGCTGGATCTCTATCTTGGGTTTCTTGGCTGGGTATCTGCCTAGCTGGGTTTCTCTTGGCAGCCTTTCTATCCCTCTGATCTTTCCATAAGTATTTTTGAATCATTCTTTTTGAATATTGCAATACATTGAACATTTTCTAAGAATACAACTTTACAACTTTCTGATTAATACCTCATTGAAACTGTGCCTCATTGACCAATAAGGAACTCATTTCTGCCACCTGCTTTCCTTATACCTGTCCTTTGGACTGTCACAGCAGTTGTCCTGTCCACCAGCCAGTTTCTCTCTCTCTCTCTCTCTCTCTCTCTCTCTCTCTCTCTCTTGCTCTCTCGCTCTCTCGCTCTCTCGCTCTCGCTCTCTCACTCTCTCACTTCGAATTTGTTCTGGGTTGCATAAGGAATTTTGTAGCTACTTATGTGAAAGAACTGTAAATGCTGTTGTTTAACTGAATAATGGATAAGATCCCAAATTTTCATGCTGGCTAATGCTTTCTCGGGTTTGAGATGAAATAAAAATAATGCTATTTAGCTGTGATCTAGAGGCATCCTCTTCAGCTCCATTATCTACAAAGAATAGGACAGGAATTCTTTGTATACAGGATAAGACCGTGTTACTACTGTCCAGCAATGAGCTTGAGATGTTTGGGATACAAACTGGGTTTCCCATTAACTATTAACGTTTCCTTTTTTCTTTCATCTTCAGCCACTCACAACTGACCTTCACTACTATTACATACTGGAGCTGTCGTTTTATTGGTCTTTAATGTTTTCCCAGTTCACGGATATCAAAAGGAAGGTAAGACTTGTTACGTCATACATGGCTTGCTTTTATGGCCCTCACTAGGTGGTAAAGAGTCTCAAAGCACTCGCCTCTGTTCTGGCAGCTGTAGGTTAGCACTGCTTCCTACATTATTACAGAAGTTCTGTTTGTTTGTGCTGTTTTATATTCTGTTTGTATTTTCTTCCAGTCTCCCTCCAAAACCCAATGTCCTTTTCTTCATGAAAAAATATTACAAAAGGCCAGTCATGGTGGCACATCTGTGAGACAGAGGCTGGGCAATCATAAATTTAAAGGTCAAACTCAGTTATATAGTGAGTTTGAGGCCAGCCTGGGCTACAGAAGACTGTATCTCAAACTCCCAAACACACATGCATACATGAATATATACATATACATGCACATATGTACATATATATGTACATATATAAAGTAATCCTGATAGCAATAATTTTCTGACTCCCAAGTCCTTATTTTCTCCAAATTAAATAAAAATTGTAAATGTAGAGAGAAAGGGAGAGGGCAAGAGAGAGGTCTCAGTGTTTCAGTTCTACAGAATGAATTCTCCAATTTAAGGGTTATCTAATGTCAAAATGCAGCTCAAAATGCTGCATTCCTAAATGTACCATGTTCTTGTCTAGCCCTTCCCCTCCATGAAGTTGCTTTTACAGAGAGATTATGCCCATGAGCTCTGAGCATTGTGTTCACTCATTCTGACTTCCATCTTGCCAAGCCCTGGGCAGGATACTGTGCTGTTTTCTGCTTACTTTATCTGTGAGGCCATTTTCTCAAGATGCCCATACTCGTATCAGTCCTTCAACATCATCTGACCGGCCTCCATCTAAGTACCTCATGCATTGCCTATTTGGGTGATTCAAGCCCACCTCTCCAGTTGTCACCTGCACCTTACACAAATATAAGTGTCAGCTGCAAACATTTTTCTTACCATTGTCTGAAAGTATCAGCCTATTCTGTACATCTTTGTTTTTGACAAGATCTTGTCTGTAGTTAGACTGTACCCATTTCCCGCTTGTCATAAAAGCAGTAGTCCCAAAGTAACTCTTTCCCTTGTAGCTCTGTTTCACCCTCTCAAGATTTTTCTGTATTTAGTTTACAGTACCATACTCACTATATTGTATTATTAAACTGTGATAACCTGAGAACTGGAGAAATGGCTCAGCAGTTAGGAGCACTTGCTGCTTTTGAGAAGACTAGAGTTCAGTTCCCAACATCCACTTCAGGCATCTCACAACTTTCCTTAACTCCAGCTCTGGAAGATCTGATGCTGTCTTTTGACTTCTGCAGGCATCCACCCAAATGTGCATATACATACACAGAGACATGCATATATATAAATAAAAAATAAAAATTAGATCTTTAAAGTATGGTAACCTACATTTCCCTTTTCTCTAGACATGTAGGAGTAAGATCAACATCTTAGTTCATTCAGCCTGCTATAACAAAATACCACAGACTGGGTGGCTTATAACACAACAGAAATCTATTTTTCATGGTTCTGGAGGGTGAGACGCCAAAAATTAAGATTCCAGAAGAGACCAACTCTGGTAAAAGCCCACTTTCTCACAAATGGTACCTTCTCACTGTGCCCTTGGATGGTGGGAAGAACAAGGCACCTCTGTAGGCCCTCTTTTATAAAGGCACTAGTTCCCTTCAGGAGGGCTTCTCCCCAAAAACCCCACTGCCTAATGCTATTACTTTGGGGTTTAGGATTTCAACATGAACTGGGGTAGAAGACACAAACATTCAGTCATAGCAAGCAGGGTGTGTTTGTCTTTGCTGTCTTTGCAACTATCAATGTGCAATGAGGGGTCAGTGTGTTTAGGTCAAATGAATGAATGGATTCAGTTCCTTTGCAAATAGGACTATAAACACTAATAGAGTACAATGTGGTAATTAACATTCTTGGTTAGACCAATAATTTGCTAAATTGTAAAATGGGATCTGAATGTCAACTAAAAAGCATTTCAAAGTCTCCAGGCCTAGAACCTAAGTAAATCCCTTTTGCTAGGTAGGATCCTTCCTCCTTCCAACAGCAGTCATGTGCTGGCTAGCAACAAAACAACCCCAAAATTGTCTGTCTGACTTCTGTGCCTACAAGGCCTTAATATGGCATCCTCTAATCATCTGAAGTGGGTGGCCCCTATAAAGACCAGCTTAGGCATAGTGGGTGACTCATTGACACCCACAATTTGTGACTCCCTTACTCATTGTACAAAGCACTCTGGGTCAGCTTCTGGGAACATTTAAAGATTCATCAGTGATGATATGCCAGCTGGATCCCTCTATCATGTGCAGAGCCTTCTTTATTTGTACAGTCAGATCTTGTAGATTATCTTCTCTGAGCCAGGTCCCATGCTAAGCTCCTTTATAAGTTTTTTTTTTTTTTCAGTAGCCTATTTGTCCTGGTATACTTACATAAGACAGAGATGTTGTTCTAGTTTGTTTCTCCATTGCTGTGACAAAATACTCTGACCAATACCAACCTGGGGAGGAAAGGGTTTATTTGACTTACCTCTCCAAGGTCACAATTCATTAAGGAGCCCAAGGTAGGAACTCAGGGCAGGAACCTGGAGGCAGGAGCTGGAGCACAGGCCATGGAGGAATGCTGCTTACTGGCTTGCTCCTCTGGCCCATGCTCAATCTGCTTTCTTATACAATACAGCCTAGGGGTGGTGCCACCCACAGTGGGATCCAGTAAAATCTAAACAAGTACTGTCTTATTTCAAAAGGGAAGAATTGGGCACACCTAAGTAAAACCTAAGTCCAGCAAAGTAGTTCAAGACTGGATGTCTGGGATTCACTCACGATCTTCTGACTCCAAAGGGTTTTGGCAGCTCCACTTCTCTGACTCTGCCGTCCACAGCACACACAACTCATCTTGCAGACCCAGCCCAGCTCTATTCCACACCTACTGCTCCACACCCTTGGTGGTCGTCCCATGGTTCTGGCATCTCCAAAAAAGCTGGAGTTTCCACTGAAATTGAGGCTGCACCTTCACCAATGGCCTCTTCTGGCCTCTCGGGGTACAAAGCCTCAGATTCTCTCCATGACGATCCCTTCAGTACTGGGGATCTTCACTGCAATTGAGGTTGCACATTCATCAATGGCCTTTCCTGGCCTCTCAGGGTCTCAAGCCTCAGCTGCTCTTTGTGACCCCCTTCACGCTTTCAACACCAGAACCACACAAGAGACTCTTACACATTACCAAGTCCTGCTTCCAGCTTGAGATGGAGGTTCAGGCCCCCTCTGGATCCCCTCTGCTTTCTTATACAATACAGTCTGGGGGTGGCACCATGCACAATAGGCTGGGCCCTCCCACATCACTCAATAATCAAGAAATTGCCCCACAGACATGACCACAGGCCAGTCCAATGGAGGCAATTCCCAAATTGAGGCTCCCTCTACCCAGGTGTGTCAAGTTGACAACTAAAGCTATCCAGCACAGATGTAGAACATACTTCCTTTTTCTATCAACGTGAGAAAATTGATACAGAGTGAATTGATATAAATCTCTCAAGGCCGTGCAGATTAGAGCCCAGGTTTGCCAATCAGAGTGTTTTGATCTGCCCTTAGATTAGACACATATACAACTCTCGCCCTGACCTGCCATGCCCTTTGTTAGAGGAAGTAAGGCTCATCAGCCCCTTGTAGTGCTTCACCGTTTTCACTGGTTCTTCTTTTGCCTAGTGAGATTTAGGAGTGGCATCTACAGTCAGTGAGATGAACTAAAGGGGAAGTAGCTGTCTTTTGCTTCCAGGAGCCTAGTCCTAGACATTGCTGTGTGTGACCCAGCCCTCTCCACTTGCTTGAGCTTTCTCATTGTATATGTAACCTGTCTTTTCTATGAACAGGTACAGTTAAGGAAGTCCCCATTGCTGTAAACCAATGAGCATTATCTTAATAGTTTTCTCAGATTACTTTCAAGGGTTGAGGTATATATTTATATGTTTTGCAACTATGTTTAGCAACAATGTATAAAATACTTAGGAAAAGAATGATTTGACATTGAAGTCTGTGGAATTGATTCTAGGTCCATAAGTATTGTCAGTATTTAGGAATTATAGGGGTTTTTTTTCCAAGTAGTTTAGATACTTGGCACCTCTCTTTTCTTTTGGTCAGAGTAGGTTTGTATATTCCTGGCACATCTGGCTTGTTCTGATTTCTACACAAAATGGGCATTTGGCCACTGCCAAACCTGTTTATTAGTTGGCACAAGTGTTAGTACAGAAATCTTTTCCCTCTACTGCTGTCTCTCATTAGAGCACTGTAGCTTTTTTCTGACCCTGCACATCTTGCTGATTGGCCCTGTGAATCCTCAACGGCTCTGTCCTCATTACACTCCCATCCAGAGGACCTGCTATTCCAGCCATCAGTGGTGATTTATGGTATGTTCTGGCTGCCAGACATACTCTTCACCTCCTATGTGGAAATACTAACTCAGCTGTCTGAAAACATCCTGCCTTTTAATCATGGGACAGAGATATTGAAGACCCACATAGGCAATGCAGCATGGACACCACCTTTAAAAGCTGACTGGGCACGATATCCTTAAAAGAGATTATCAAGACTCTTTGGTTTCCATATTAAATGGCAGTGAGCTTGAGTGGTCATTTTCAAAGATTAGGATTTAGAAACACTGAACATGAACTCATGCCACAAACTCAATGAGTATCTTAAGTGCAGTTTAGAAATCATTTTTCTTTACCCTTTCTAAAATATGTTGTTTGTTTTGAGACATGGAAAGTTTAATTCTGTAGCCCAGGCTGGGCTTAAACTTTGAGTAATCTTCCTGCCTTGCTGGTGACTCCTAAGATTATAGATATCGTCCACCATGTTCAAATTTAGAAATCATTTAATTTTTCTGATACAGCGTTTCACTGTATACCAATGGCTCACCTAAAATTCAGTGTGTAGACCAAATTGGCCTTGGACACACAGAGATCTGCCTGCCTCTGCCCCTGGAGTGTTGGGATTAAAGGCATGTACCACTATCGTGC